CCAGCTAATTTTTTGTATTTTTAGTAGAGACGGGGTTTCACCATGTTGACCAGGATGGTCTCGATCTCTTGACCTCGTGATCCACCCGCCTCGGCCTCCCAAAGAGCTGGGATTACAGGCTTGAGCCACCGCGCCCGGCCGTTCTTATGTTTTCTTAACCCTAAAGCAGATAAATGGAAAAAAGTATGTATTTTAGGGTCTTAAGTTTTTAGTTTTCTATTAAAACCGGTGCTTGCAGAGACATTCCGTTTAGTAACTTGTTTTCTAGTCCTGCAGATCCAGTAGTTGCTACACAAGTCACAAAAAATTAAACAATAAAATTTCTCAAAACTACATTAAAACTTTATTTCTCTTATCTTGTATATTTAGCTTTTATTCTATACAGTTATTTATTTATTTATTATTTATTTATTTTAATGAATGGTTCTTAGGTTGCCTAGGCTAGCCTTGAACATGTAGCCTCACCTCCTCAAGTGCCAGGACAACTGACCTGAGCCATGGTGGCTCCCTATTCTCTACAGTTTTTAAAGAAATTGATGACAGAAACAGAAGAAGAAATAAAAATGCTGGACCCTTTATCTAAATTTTGGGAATTATTAAACACTTAGTACCAGCTCTCGGGGTGTTATGAGGATTAAATCCCATACTGTGTTATTCCCAGAAGTGCTCTGTAACATACTCTTGAGCACACAGTATCTGCTTAATAATTATTGCATTAGTACACGTGCACATGTTTATAATGCAGACTCATTCAGACTTTGCTGCCTTCTGGTTGTTCTATAAATTTTAAAGAGCCAGCAAAGAATATGATACTTTAGGATGGAAATAAGAGTTGTCTTCATTTGTCCTAGAAGTATTTATGTTGTGACAAGAGTGCCTAGTATAAGGGACTCTGTGCTGTGCCTGCTTCTCTAACTAATGCCAGTAATGAGCCCAGGGGGAGCAGTATCAGCATTGGTGGGGTCTGGTTTAAAACACCCATTTTAGATCCCTTGTATGAATTATAATACGTAGAATGGGATCAAAATTACCAGGTTATTTTTATTTTCTTTCTTTTTACCAAGTTATTTTTAAGCTTATTAAAGTTTGAGAGGCAATGCTTAGCTAAATGTTATCGGCCTAGATTTCTTTCTTTTTTTTTTTTTTGAGTTGGAGTCTAGCTCCGTCACCAGGCTGGAGTGCAGTGGTGCAATCTTGGCTCACTGCAACCTCTGCCTCTCTAGCAGCCAGGACTACAGGCACGTGCTGCCACTCCCAGCTAATTTTTGTATTTTTAGTAGAGACAGGGTTTCACCATGTTGGCCAGGATGGTCTTGATCTCCTGACCTTGTGGTCCGCCTTCCTCAGCCTCCCAAAGTGCTGGGATTATAGGCGTGAGTCACTGTGCCCGGCCACAGCCCAGATTTCTGATTAGGATTACATGGACAATTTGCAGAAATCTCTACTTGTTGGGGGAAGCAGCACTGGAGGAAGGGTTTACAGTGTACCTAAATAAACTGGTTATAAGTAATGTATAAAAGAAATCAGGAACAATAAACTGCAGAAGGCCGCAGAGACCTCTGGGGAGGAAGGCCTCTCTATGCCAGCATGTTCCCAGGAACAGAGTGACCTGAGCTCTGATACTCGAAACGCTGCGCCCAAGGACATAACACTTCCTTGAAGCACTGTAATGTAACCAGGCATGTAGGCTGCTTGCTAAGCCCACTCCCACCACTGCACTGTAGATAAGCATATGATTTTAGTTCTTGAGAAACTCACATAAACCGCCACTGCTATCAATTTTATGTTTGATACACAGCCTCCCTTCCCGGATTCACCCTATCACCTGCACTGTAGATAAAAGTGATTGTGTTCAGTGAACATTGTGGAAACCAGAGCTCTGGGCCTTCACTGCCTCCATTGCAAGTGATGGTCCCCTGGTTCCACTTTCGTTCTTAATCTGTCTTTTTCTCAGTCCTTTGTTGCCACCGAACTTGGGGTACCCACTGGTGGGATGTGGGGCTGGTTCCCTACATCTACTTGTACCCTTTCCATGGATTCTGTTTATTGTTCTGGGTGGAAGCATCCGTGTTGTTTTAATGAAGTGCTTCATGTGACTCTAAGGTGAGGCCAGAATCAGGTATGAGGGCTTCAAAATACATTCATGAGAGTTAAATTTCACCTTTGCACTAAAGGGTGGTCACAGGGCCTTTTTCTGTTCAGCTTTGGTAGGGACAGGGCAGTGTGGCCCATATTTCCATTACTGTAGCAAAAATTGCTGGTGCCTGTGGCAGGGGAGGTTACCTGAGTACAGGAAAAGAGAAATTTATATTTTTGCTCCCATGGAGCAGCTTATTGTTCCTGAATCCCTTTTGTTATAAAGAACAGAAATGGGTGGGCTTTTACTGCAGGTCCTGGTCCTTCTGCCTGTGGATGTAAACAGGTGGTGCTAAAACCTTTAAAGCCATTTTTTCAAGATGCAGATGTAATTTATTAAGAATCTCATCTGAGCAGGAATCCAGAGAAGGGGGAGAAACAAGGAAAAAGATGGCTTTTCTTTTGGCTAAGCGTATCTCAGATCAAGAGCTGTGTCCACTCTGCTTCCTGGACTGCCATGCGCTCAGTAATTGGCAAGCCTTTGCTTCTTTGCTTGTGTTTTTCCTCCCTCATGAGTTTGTTTTAACAACTTTTAAAAATTCATGTAATATCCAAGGGTCTCTGCAAAATATTTCTTTCCTATATACCAGAGCCTTTTCTACATTCTGTATGTCTTGGTTTCTTATATGCCATGCAGAATTTTCACCATGAATTTATAATCTGCAATATTAAAATTGTTTCCTTTGTGGTTGTGGACCATAGGAAGCTGTGGCTACTCATGATTTCTGTTGAGGAAAATTTGGGGTCCATCCTTAGTGAAAATGGAGAACATAAAATGTTGAGGTTCCATCTGTGTTCTCCATTAGCTTTATGCAGAACAGGATGTAAAAAATGCTTATTTAAACAGGATGGCATTTATTACCCAGAAAGTTATTTTTAAAAATTAGGATGATTTATAATCCTTTGGGTATATACCCAGTAATGGGATTGCTGGGTCAAATGGTATTTCTATTTCTAGATCCTTGAGGAATCGCCACACTGTCTTCCACAATGGTTGAACTAATTTACACTCCAACCAACAGTGTAAAAGTGTTCTTATTTCTCCACATCCTCTCCAGCATCCGTGGTCTCCAGATTTTTTGATGATCACCATTCTGATGTGGACACAGGGAGGGGAACATCACACACTGGGGTCTGTTGGGGGATGGGAGGCTAGGGGAGGGATAGCAGGGGGTGGGGAGATTGGGGAGGGATAACATTAGGAGAAATACCTGATGTAGGTGATGGGGGATGGAGGCAGCAAACCGCCATGGCATGTGTATACCTATGTAACAATCCTGCAAGATCTGCACATGTACCCCAGAACTTAAATTAAAAAAATTAGAAGATGCTTGCTGTATAGGGTGCTAAAGAAAGACTACTTAATATCAGTATTACAAATTATAGAACATGGAAGATATCTGTATCTTAAACTTTGCGTAAAACTCATGTTTCTGCAAGGTTAAATTCAGACTGTAATTAACTTTCAGGATGGCAATATTTCAGCAGTGATGTTATGTCCTATGTATATCAGCACATTATGAAAATTTGTTCTAGTGCACTTGATATTAGTGATTCACTTGGTTAAAGAGCTCTCTGACAGATTCTTTTTTACTATTGAGTTAATTATTTTCCTCTTTATTATTAAGTATCTTTTTGCAGCTGATGTGTATAAATTGTCATATTTAATCTGGAAGCTGCCCTTCTTAGGTTTTCTTTGCATATATCTGTGTTTGGAAAATGAAAGCTCTCATCTTTGATTACAGGCCAGAAAAACTGGGAAAAACGCAGGCTCTTTTACTTACTCAGTGTTTTTGACAAAATCTTCTTTTTGAGGCAAAAACATTGGCATTAATGGTGAGCTTGTTAGAAATTCAGCAACTCAGACTTTATTTCTGATTTTCTGAAAAAAAATCTGCATTAACACGATCTCAAGTTTATAACATTAAAATTTAAGACGCACCTTCTAACTTAACATGTCGTTTTGATCTGAATAATACACACAACTCATTCTTTAGAATGTGAGTATAGCACTCAAAAATGTACGTTTGTGTTTATGCCCTTGATTTTATACTGTATTATTCAGAAGAACAGAAAAGCACTGATATTGTAGATTTTATGCCACTCTGTTTTCTCAGAGAGGATATTTCTGTTTTGAAATTCATTTTATTGGAAAATTTTAGTCAGTCCTATAAGTTAGAACCAGTTCTCTTTACTCTTTCATTTCACCTTGAGTCAGATTAAAAATTCTGCCCATGGCCACTTGGTAAATGTGTTTGTGTGTTTTTCAGGCACCATTGACATTTACAGATGTGGCCATGGAATTTACTCTGGAGGAGTGGCAATGCCTGGACACTGCACAGGAAAATTTATATAAAAATGTGATGTTAGAGAACTACAGAAACCTGGTCTTCCTGGGTGAGGATAACTTCAATACACCATTCCTATTATATCCTAAAGGCTTTATTTCTCTTTTTTGTAGAATGTGTTTTGGTAAAGTATGCTTTGCATAAATGAGTTTCGTATCCTTGTTTTCAAGAAAATCTTGGGGATTAATCCATGTAGAAGAGAATTTCTTCAAGATGTTTCATTTTGACCTTAACTTTCCACATTCCTGAGATGATCTGTATCCTTCACTCTGGATTAAGGTTTTGTTTATTTATTTATTTATTTAAAAAAATTTTTTTAATTTAATTTTTTTTTTTTAATAGAGACGGGATTTTACCATGTTGGCAGGCTGGTTTCGAACTCCTGACCCCAAACAATCCACCTGCCTTGGCCTCCCAAAGTGCTGGGATTACAGACATGAGCCACCACACCCGGCCTGGTTTAATGTTAATTCCAGAAATTTTGTGGCCTAAAATATTGTTGCCCACACTTTAAAATCTAATTGCCACCATCAATTTCTGATTCAGTAGTACTGGGTAGTGAAATTATGTACCTACAAATTGAAAATATTTTGTAAATATTTAGAAATTTCTGTTATAAATTAGTATTTTGGGATTAACTTACTAGAATATTCCATTACATCCTCTTTATGAGCACATTATTAAGTTGGCAACTACAGAAGATGAGCAAGATTCATATTATTTATTTGTAATAAAACAGGTATTATTGTCTCTAAGCCAGACCTAATTACCTGTCTGGAGAAAGAAAAAGAGCCCTGGAATATGAAGCAACATGAGATGGTGGATGAACCCCCAGGTAGGTGAGAGTCAATACAACAGATGACACAGTTTGAGAGGTCCCAAGGTCAAGGAGAAAGCATCTTGAAAAATTAATTTGGGAAGCTGTATTTCAAAACAAATAATTTCTGTAAAGCTGGGTTGCTTTTAAAAATTTTCCTCTCACATGGGGCGTCTTCCATTTTGTGCTTTTTTTTTTTTTTTTTTTTTTT